AAAAGAAACGTTTCGCCCCTCATCCAAGAGGCTTCGTCAGTCTGAGGATCGTGGTAAGTTTATTTTAAATGATCTGTACATTTAAAATAAATCAACAACACATTCTTATCAATCCTCCAGCTTGCTTGTCATTAGCTATGTGCCTCTCGAGTTAGCAAGCTAAGATTAGAGTTTAGTTGCACCGCCTTCACAACATTAGCCCGGTTGTCAGTAGTTATAACGGCTAGTTCTGTCGAATTGAGCTTCCATTTGTGAGGACATCCAGTGTTAGTAACGCCGTCTTTGTCGTCCTCAATGAAATGCATCGTTTGTCTGAATCTTTACTTCTCTGCAAAGACAAATAAACGCCGCTACAGTCAATACTAATTAAGACTTTCACCGTACGTGACTGGCTGTTTAAACTATCTTTGTTTAATTTATATTTTTATAACACACTTGATAACTTTATGGTGAATAGTGGAGGATAGAAAATGTGAACCCATGTTAAGAAGACTGTTTTTAAGACCAGTGCACCATTTGTAAATCTACCGTGGGACTACGTATAGCGTGGATATGATTAGCTTAGCTTCATGTTTGCTAATAGCTGCGCTAAATAAAAAAGCCCCACTCCACTCATTTTCTTAGGCTCTTGGGGGTGGACAAAGCTAAAAAAAAATTCAGACATTATATATTAGTTATTGGCGGCCGCCTTCCCCTCCCAGTATCAATGATAGCCAAAACTTCCATATCGGTCGGGCTCTGTAAGATGATATAATCCAAATAAACCTCCAACAAGTATAATTCTTCTAAGACTAATTCTATAGGAATATAATAACCTCTACGCGTTGATATGTGATTTACTGCTTCGTTGTGGAGCTCATTAGAAATCAACTGACAGATTACTTGTTTAAATAGTCTCACTTTTTAAAAAGGCCTTTGATAATTGAAGTGACCTTTTCAGAGCTCTCTCTGAAAAGTATCACTGTGCCGATGAGTAAAACAGTGTGAAACCACTAATATGGGATTTTTTTCTAACATTTTTTCACTCAAACCCTGTCAGGGTCTCGTGATAAGGAAAGAAACTGATAGCGTGGACCCAAAAGACCTGAGGAATTATTATAGCGTTGAGGCGTTTTGCAGAATCGTGTTCTCTGGCAGTCAAATTGGTTTGAGCTGGTCCACTTTGATGCTTTTTTTTTTCTGCAAAAACGGATAAAAGTCGGTACTTTGGTTGGAATCATTTCAATTGAATGTGACAATAAATGGCTGAAAATTCTTCCAGGTGACGGAACATCCATCTGGTGTTTGATAAAGCTGTCAGCTAGCTGCACCTTGGCTTCGTCTCTCTGACTTTGCATTCTCAGAACAGCCGAGTTCGGGATCGTGGGGGTGCTGAGGTTACAGAGAGGAAAGTTTTGATTTGAACTTTGTTTAAATCCATAAATATGAACTTTTCAATGTTTTTGTTTTATACATTTATTCTTCTAACACGGATTCTGCATCAATAATTGTATGGCAGTTAATTGGACTCACACTCTTCATGGTTTGTGTAAAAACTTAAAAACTACAAAATAATCTTTGCTTTTGTTTACAACTAAATGTGGCGATTAGCAGTTGGGAATATCTCGGCACAGCTCATTTGCATATTTAGCAGCAGCTTTCGTCTCCACGCTTGATTTCCTCACTAAAATGACTCTACTTCTGTCAGATTTTAATCGCCATGTCTTTGAAGAAGAAGAGAGAAGAACGTTTTAGCTTTCGACCTATTCTCCCTCTGTGTTTACATCTGGGGCTTATTTTAGACTCAATGTGCATCGACTGTCCAAAATGTACTCATTGATGTTTGTGTGTAAACAAATGACTCGTAAATGTTGGCAACATACCATGACTCTGCGGGTTTCCATTATTTATCACACACTATGTGGTACAGATCATCCATCAGCTTTACCCACTTCTTCCCTTTTGGGTTGCGGGGGTCAATGGTGCCCATGTCCACCGACATTGTCCACTGTGCAAGAGGTGGGGGACACCTTGGACAGGTCTCCAGTCCATCACAGTGATGGCTGGATATGAGCACTAGCGACTCAAAAAGGAAGTAGTGGGTAAAGAGAACAAATGAATAAATGAATGAATGGATGGATGGATAGCAGCTTTCATTCATCAATAAGCATTCACAATGCATTTATGAAGGAAATGCACATTTTTATAGATGTAGCTTGTTAATCAAGTCAGACAGCGATTACATAACGCAAAGCTTTTTCTAACAAGTTTAGTTGCAAAATACTTCGTCATGTGACTGTACTGTGGATGGTGACTAACGTGCTGCGTCTGTTTCAAAACCTTTCCGACCTCCTTATTCCACTCCGCCTCTGAAACCATCTGCTACAGTGATGTGTGCAGAGTCTTACCATCGTCTGAGGGGCTTGTCTGTCACCGGGATGCTTCGCAGAGCCGCCCCGAGCAGCATGAAGAAGGCCGAGAGGAGAAGAGAGGACCGCAGACCTGCACAACACAACACGGTCGTTTATTCAGGATAAAACGGCTCCACGGACTGAGAGGGCGGAGTTAACTTTCATCCACCTGGCACTCATCAGCACTTTTATTCCAAATATTCTGTTTTGCAGCAAAAGTTTAAAAAAAATATATATATTGGAGATTTAGTAAAAATGTTCAACATATTTTCATTTTCTGTTGAGTCTCTTTACAGTGTCAGCCCTACTTCACACCGGTGGCATCTGATCATTTTAAGATGTTTCCATTGTCTGGTTTTAATTCATTTTAAATTAAAATATATTAAAAAAAAATAAATACAAGTTGGCAGCACAGTGGCTCAGTAGGTAGAGCTGTTGCCTCTCAGCGAGGAGGTCGTCAGACTGAATCCCAGCCGAGATTTTCTCCAGGTGCTCCAGTTTCCTCCCACAGACCAAAACACGCATGTTAGACTGATGGTAACTCTGATTGTCTCTAAGTGAGAGAGAGTTAATGGTTGTTTGTCTCTGTCTCTATGTGTCCCTGTGATGGACCTGTCCAGGACGTACCCGGCCTCACATACAGTAGTCACAGTTGGACACGGGCACCAGTGATCCTCAGGAACCAGAAGGGAAGAAGCAGGTAACCAGGATGTGTAACAGTAGATGAAATAGGACTTGTCAGAATAAAGAAGTTCAGTTTAACAGCCACTCTCGCTGAAACATCCAAAATGTCTCTAGGTCAACGTCACTATATTCAAGCATTCAAGGTTCTTTATCGTCGTTCGCGTCACATGTGGTACATGAGGTGGAACAAAACTGTGTACACAGGATCCCAGTTACATCCAATCAATCTAAGATATAAACCAAGATATATGCTAATAAATATATGAAGGCATAAATAAATAGAATGAGTGCGTTAACTTGTTTTTATATATGAATGTTTCTGTTCAGTGCCCTGAGATGACCTGTGTTGTGACTTGGCTCTTATTTAAACAAGCTGAACTGAGTACACCTGTTAAAATCTCTGCAGCAGCAAACAGGTTCAACATCTTCAACAGCAGCCTGATTCAGATCAGCAGGAATACACAGAGAGTCGAGATCAGCTGTGTGCTTTTAACTTTCATTTTGGACAACATTCACGTACACAGCTGGAGTACAAGACCATTAAAGTGATTTTGGGCACCATTACACATCCATTATCTTTTACCTGCTACTTCCTTGTTGGGTCGCGGGGGTCACTGGTGCCCATGTCCAGCAGTCACTGTGCGAGATGCGGGGGACACCCTGGACAGGTCTCCAGTCCATCACAGGGACACATGGAGACAAACGAGACAAACAACCATTCTCTCTCTCTCATCTAGGGATAATTTAGAGTTACCAGTCAGTCTAACATGCGTGTTTTTGGTCTGTAGGAGGAAACCGGAGTACCCGGAGAAAACCCACGCAACACGGAACGTATCTACCTGGGTAATTGTGCTTACAAACCTTTTTTCCACACAGAAAGGCCCCTGGACTGGGATTTGAACCAGCGACCTTCTAACTGATAGGCAACAGCTCTACCAACTGAACCACCATGCCGTCCCACTAATACAGTACCCATAAAAAGTACTCACCCCTTTGGATGTTTAATGTATTTATTGCTGTCATCAGTCGTGGTCAATAAAAATTGGCCTTCTTTACAAAAAATGATAAAAAATATATTTTGTAATTTCCAGAGTAATGCCAATTAAATAAAAATATGTAATTGAAAATATGTGACTGCATAAATATTCAATTAAAGGGAATGTCCTAATTCAGCTCAGAGAAAAGATTATTGAACAGTTAGGGGATGGAGAGAAAATGACTTTATGGTCCTAAACATATGGAATATGGGACATGTGTAAATCTACCAAGAGGACGATGTCCTCACAAACTGGGCAACCGTGAGAGACCACCAAGACACCTGGGACCACCGAGGAGCTTCAGCAGGTGAGATGGACGAAGGAACTGTCGCCCGAGTTCTTTACCGGTCTAAGATTCATGAGAGTGGTAAAGAGAAACAGTTTGATAAAACTCAGATTTAACCTTAATTCATGTCTCCTGAAAACACAGACAAAATCTAGTGAAGTGTTTTTTTTCTAGTAAAATAAAAAAGTTTTAAAACATAAAAAGACATTTTTTTTAATTCACAATTTTTGTTGCCTCTTCTGTTTTTTCTTCATGAGCTAAAAAGAAAATTAGTTATTCCAGATTTTTCTTACTAACAAAAGCATCAAAGAGCACAGTGACATATAAAAGCTTCATCATTAAACAACTAGATTAGATAGATTAGAAGTTACATTAATTTTAATTTCTGTCAACGCTACGTCTTCGCAGCTTCACAATTTGCAAGATTTCTCTTTTGTGGCCACTTGTGTTTTGTTGCTCATCAGCAGTTTCCACCTTTGAGGAAGGGGGAGCTCTGAGCAGGGAGCAACGCCTGCTCCCCCCAGAGGCGTTTGAGCCGAGTCATTGTCTCCGCGTGCGCGTCAACAAGTCGAGCTCACACACAGATATGCACGAAAACACCGACACGGTTCAAGTCTGAGGCAACCACGGTGTTGTCAACAAAGTCACGCTCCGTGCGATTTGTGAAGACTAAATAGAATGCCTAATTTCATACGTCTTTATTTTCAGACTACACACGTATTAGCAGTTGTAGATATCTCCTGAACGACATGAGTTTGGAGAAATCGTTCGATTCTGACCGGAATGATGAGCTAAGTCCGAGTCTGGGGTGAGACCGAAGTGGGCGAAGCCATCTTAAAATAACTCCCATCTTTAAAACGTACTTGAACTTGAGGCAGAATCTCAACGGGGTTTTGTTCACGCGTGAGAGAAGAATGGAGCGTGAGACTGACTGACGGATCGGTGCAGCTTCGGTAGTATTGTGGATAGGCCTGTCGCGATAAACAATAAATCAATTAATCGCACGATAAATGAAAATTATCAACCTCATTTTAATTTATCGACGTTATCGTTTCTTCGTGTCTCTCTCTTTCTACTGAAGACACTCGACGACAAAAGGCTCAACTCCGGTGCTCTTCACTGACCCCTCCCTTTCTCTTTAAATCTATTTTAACTGTTCATAATCGCGTTTCTGGATCGTTACAAGCAGCTAAACTGAGAAGCTAAGCTACGAGCTAAGCTAACAGGCCGACCTCGGGGAAAAAAAAACCTCCGTCTTGTCAAAGCTCCAAAATTCAGTTGAAACCTGTGCCTTCGTGACAAAAGTTGGTTTTCTCTGCAAAAAGTTCACAGATTTTGTATTAAAAGCTTTGTGTGACAAAGGCTAAAGAGCTCAAACCACATCGAGCATCCGCCATTTTGAGAACCGAAGACAGACAGCCCATGTCACGTCAAGGGGCCTCCCTCCCATTTTTCTGAAAGCGACACGCTGCTCACTCCCTCACTATCCATCCTTCGGTTCAGTCTTATACTGCCATCCGGTGGGCGACAAAAAAAAGGCACTACACACAAACAATAAACATTTCTTCCTAAATTCAACAATAATCACTAATTATTGTCAAATTTCAAATATTATCGTTTATCGCAATAATTTCTGAGACAATTAATCGCCCGGCAACATTTACTATCGTGACAGGCCTAGTTAATAATTAACTGTACTTTTTCTTAAGTATTGTTTATTAATGGGGGAATCTCCAGCTAGTTTATTTTGTCTTAGTAGTTAATTTTCTACCACTTCCTAAAAAGAAGCAAATGCCGGCTCGCCACATAATAAAACAAAACTGCCTGAAGAAGGTCACAAGATGAGTTACGTAACTCTCTGGCACGTTTCGTGCTTGTTTGCCGTGAGATTGTTGTTGTGCTACTGTTTTCGTCACCCAGTATTACACACTCACGTGCCAGTCAGACCAGTCAGTGGAACTGGTTAGGTAAAGAGCACTCCGTCTCAAGTCAAGCAGGATTATTGAAACCTCCTTGTCACTGCTCGAAAGCGCGTCGCCAAAAGTTCTGTCATTTTTCAAAGTGAACCTTTGCTCAAGAAGCTTTTGAACACTTTTCTATCCAACAGCAACGCTTGTTTTACTCTAAACGTGAAGCCAGCTCTTCAGCTGAAATGAGAACTTCTCCGCAAAACTGTTTTTCATGTGAAGATGATCCTAAAAGGGGACTACTCTTGTTTGTTGGAGACCTTTTGTTTCTCAAATTAATCTTTAAAGATCCTGATGCATGCTCAATAATCCAGGTAGAAAAATCTACAAAAGTTGAGTCAGGTCCTCTGGATGGGTTCTTCTTGTTGAGACGTTTCGTCTTTCATCCAAAAGACTTCTTCAGTTTGAGGAGCAGCAATAAACTCAGTCTTGTAAACAGCACCTTCTCCTAGTGGATCAACCGTTTTGCTGACGACGATCTTTACAGAGCTGCGCTTGAAAGTGAAAAGATCTCAACAACCCTTACCAGGGAGAATGATTTGCATGTGAGTTCAGCTTGTATAAACTTCACAGCGGTTTTGAAATGTGGAAAACAAAACATTTTGTCACCTGAGTTCCTCTGAGTGAACTGGCATTGTGACCTACTTGAGTTATCAGATCCAGTATCAAATCTAATTAGATTTATTTGTTTTACTGGTTTCTGATTTTAACAGCTCATTACTTTTACGGTTTCAGATGATTTTACAGTTTTATATGCTTGTGTTGGTGGCCAACGGTGATGTTTTTAAAGGGCTTTATAAATAAAGTTGTATTGTATTGATAATCGATTTCTAAACACACGTTTTGTAATTCACCCTACCTCAAACGCATAATTATATAGGGACTTATTGTTTGAAGCGGTTATATTTTAATAACCGTCCAGCAAACACCCATTAAAAATCTAAACGAACAGAGAAAGAGTCAAACAAGATGAAACCGGTCACAGTTAGAACTGCTTACCCTTTTTATCCATTAACCACATAAACAGCAACCAGGGGATGAAGCCCACTGGGCCCCACAGCACCAGAACCGCGATGTCAGACTTGCTGAATCCATAAGCCTGAACGGCTGAGTTCTCAATGGGACCCCAGAAGTTCCACACCATCCCCTGCAGTAGACCCAGCAGGGAAAACAGGGTCAGAACCAGCCATCTTCGGCCGTAAACTCGGCTGTGGACCGGCTGGGTGTTCGTCCCCACGTAAGCCGGACCGAGAAGGGGCTCCCTTTCCGCTTCGGTGCTCGACCCAGCACCCATGGTAGTTGCTGTTGTCCGTTTAATGACCAGATTCCGGGTTTAGCGGCGGTTCTGTAGTAGGAAATTGACGCAACGCTCAGATTCCGTTGACAACACAAACCAAAACAGACGACTGGCCTCGTTCTTGTTTGTGATACTTTACTGCGCATGTCAGAACGGAAGCGGTGCGTAACACGGAAACTGCTCCTCCTGAGCGGACATTTTGGTTCCGGCTTGCGTTGGTTTAACCGAGGCGCAGCGCGTGCTGAGCCAAAATGGAGCATTACGTTGAAATGAAAACGTTCAGTGTCATGTGACTTTTGTTTACATCCGCCAAAAGTTCAGGCGCACGTGTCAGTGAAAGGTGACGGGTGAGTCTCCGTTTCTCTTCATTGTACGGAGCTAGGTCCATAGCCTGAAGCTAGCTAACAACATCGGTTGTATTTTATATTCTTAAATGATTAAATACATTAGAGCTGAGGGTCTCAGTGTTTGATTTATAATTTTGCACTCAAATAAATAAAAAAAGTTGCTTTGTGTGTGTTGTCTAACTTTGACAACACATTAGCTTAAGGTTAGCGATTTAGCTACAGCGTGAAGAGTTTAATAAAGTTGAATATTAAAATAAAATGACTTTAAACACAAATGCTATTTAAAAGTAGTAGCTAAATTAAATTATATTGAATCAGACGGTGAATACAAAAAATGCTCAGAATAGGACAATAAGGCTTGTAAATTATTGGCATAAGATAGTTGTAAGAAAGTGATCTATTGTTTTATCAGTTATTTGGCTTCTGCTTGTCCATTTACTTATGACTGATTACAGGTTTTCTCTAAGGTTAAGATCTGGTGATTTCCACAGCCAACATTGTTATTTTGTACATTTTTGTGCTAATTTTTGCCTTAAATCAAACCTCTGTCAGGCTGAGAGCTACACAGTTTACAAAATCATACCTGGATTGATTAAAGAAAGTGTTTTGACGCCATTCATGGTGTTCTGGGCGACATTAAAAAGTCCCGTCACCTGGATGAGAAGCACCCCGCACATGCATTGTATCAGAATACCACTTCAATATTAATTTGACACAGGGCTCAAGGTAGAGCTGATATTTTTCCTTCAAACAAATGGTTTTCTAGGTGTCCCAAACAATTGGACTGGAAGGGTCTTAGAAAATAACTTTGCTCCTGTCCGTTCATTTTACTTTGAGTTTCTTGGAAACAAGCCGCTTCTTTGTGGTCCTTTGACTAGTGTGCAGATGCTCTCACGCCAGCTTCTACAGATGTTGAGCTCTGCTCTGGTGGCAACACAATTCTATTGTGCTTTCCTCTGGAGGAGATAGTCCTGACGCTTGCTGGACACTCGTGAACATCATGAATCCATCACAATTTGTACCTTAACGTTATCGACGATTCAGAAATCGTTTTAGGTGAAATACGTGTTGCAGAAACTTTTGTCATGTCATGTGAGCCCATTGATGCAGGCAACGATTGTTGCCTGCTTCCCATTGCTTTCACAAGAAGATAAATATTCCAACATCTGCTTCTTAAAACAATTAATCTGCTAATAAGATGATAAAGTGGTTTTATTTCTATTCTTTTGTAGCGTCCTCTGTATTTATGAAATTTGCCAATAATTTAGTACTAGACTATTTTTTTTTAAATGTATTTAAAATGGTTTAAAATGAACTTTTTAAGTTAATGCACTCTTCATTAAATTAATGTTTCTGATCACTGAACAATAATCTGAAAAACAGTGAGCTGTCACTGCAGAAACCTGAAGCTACAAAAATTACAAATCTCGTTTGTGCCACATGTTTTGCTATAACTACATTAGATTTTGTAGTTTTTACTGTTTGCCTCGTATAAAAAGAAAACCTGCTTCTGATGAAAGGCGTGTCTCATATAGAACACGCTGGCTTAGTTTCCATGATTAGTATCTAACTTAACACAATCTAAATCATCTAATCTCTGTCTTCGTCCTGTGTTGCAGTCTGCTAACTGCAAGAACGTTTGCCATGGCCGCCATGACCCCCGTTAATCCCTTCAGTCCTGCGGAGGCCCAGAGAGTTTTGCATCATTTGCAGCAGCCTGCAGTTTTCTTAAACATGACGTGCGGTTGGCCCGCTCTCCACTGGACTGCAGAGCATCTGTCCAGCAGCCTTCGTGACAGGCTCGTCCAATTCCGACTGGGAAGAAGAGAGGCCACGAACAGTAAGATCAAATTAATTCCCACAGAGCTGCACTGTCATTCCTGACATATTAAACATCTGGAAATGAACACAGCAAAACCAGATGAACCGATCGGAATAAAATAATGTGTCAATAATTTATTTATTGCACAATTCAATTTGAAAAGTACGCACCATGCTGTCATTTATTTGAATTGGATGCATTACCTGGAGGATAACACACCTGTTTGATTAATTATTGGTTTTAGGAAAAAATTCTGCTTAAAAAAATTGTTTGCCAATGTAAAATATAAAATTTAAGCATTTTATTTTCTACAGTGTTTGACGTTAAACTAATCACAAAATTCTGACGTTTCTTGTGTATGCAAGGACAAGACCAACAGTCAGTATTAAATGGACTTAAATTACAAGTTGTCAGTCAATACCGCTTAAAAAATAAACATTTATTTGAGAAAATTACTTTTTTATTTCAAGAACACCGTTTATTTCTCAATTATGGATTGATATTCAAAAGAAAATTGATTAGGATTCAGAAAGTTTGTCGCATTTTCTGAAATGAGGCTCATTTTTAAAGAAATATTGTTATTTTAAGTATTTCCCTTAAAGTGTTATGAATACTTAATATCTGTTAGATAGCTCTTACGTTGACCTCAGTTTGGGGACACCGACCTTGATTCTGGATTGACGAGCTAACGGCTAGTCCAAGCAGGGGCAAGATTTGACCATTTTAAAAACAACTCCAATCTAAAACATTTCATATCAGTTCAGACCAACACCTTTTTAAAAAGTTAGAAATTTATGGTTATTTTCACACTCAAATGGCAGCATCTAGCTGTAGCACTTCTGGGTCACTTCTTGTGGCAATATTTCAATATTTCCACTGGAATAACTGTGAAATAGATAACTGCAATAAAAAGGTTTATGAAACATCTGTCACAATAATGGCTATAAAAGTTTTGAGACGTGAGGTTTCACCTTGGTCTTGGCCCCACTCGGACATTTTCCCACTCCTTCTATTCTCTTTTGTCATCACTATCGTCTAAACCAGGGGTAGGCAGTCCAATGGATCGACCAAATATAATATTAGCATAAAAAACAGAATATGTGGCACTTAACACGTACGTGTGTTGGATTTATTGCAGCTCAAGCAGTTCATTGCAACAACAATGTTGCATTCAGTTTGGTTATTTGTCCAAAGAGCAGGGGGGCTAGTTTATATTGGTCCCAGTTGTCACATCAGAGGAGACTGTAAATTGTTGGCATCAAATCAAATTCTAAGTTTGAAATAAATAAAAAAATCTCAGCTTTAATGTAAAACATGTCGTTTGCTACTTTACATACAAATAAAGATTAATTTGCTTCTTATTGCACTTTGTTTATTTTTTATATTTTATACAATGTACTTTAGTAACATCTGTATTTAGCTTTCCGTTTGGCGCCGTGACAGATGACTTGTCTCGTAAACGACAGAGCGTCATCTGATCAAACCTCGTTAACTGAATTGATCTTTATCAGCTGCACCAAATGACAGGAAGGCATTTGTTACCGGGGATTATAAAGGCCACATGTCTGCCATAGCTGCAATTTGTGTACTGAGATTTTAAAAAGCCTAGATTAAAAATACTTGACCTTTGATGATGCACAGTGCTGAGACGCTTCTACATTAAGAGTGTTATCTTACCATCGTCAGCTGAAATGGTTTACTGCAAGTCTTCCAGTGATTATTCAGTGTCTTATCTGTTTATTTGTCCTCCACTCTTTAGCCCCCCTATTTGAGACTCAGTGTTCCTACATCGAAGCCACCGTGGCTCAGTTTCTTCACTGGACTCGGGGTCGGACGGATGTGGGACCTTTTTCTGAGTATTCCTACTCAGAGTACTGGGCTTATGCTGATTACAAGTACATCGCAATGCTGTTTCAAGACCAGCCTTTTATGTTCGAGGTAATCATACAGCTGCTTGTAAATGCACTCTGGTCAGTAGCTTGTTCGAGTGATGTTTTTATGCATGAAAAGACCCGTACGGTAGCAGGTGTAAAAAGTTCACTCAAAAATTGGGTTGCCAAGTCAAAATCCAAGATGGCCACCGCCATGTCAATATGTAAATTGCCACCTCAATCGTTTTAGGAAGCTATGCTTTCTAGTTTGTATATTGCTTTAAAGTATAGTTTCCTCAAATGATTGGGGCGACTGAAAATGACTGTATGGTGGTCAAGGCCACCACTGACCCCCCCCCGGATACACCGTTATGTCTGGTCAAGGGTAAAATCGCTCCCTCCACATCCTCGGACAATCAAAAATAAACCTCCCTCTGTTCTTCTGCACAGTGTAACTCCTACCCATTTGAATATCTTGCACCAAAATCATCATTCCCTGTTCAACACTCATCTCAAAAACTACAAACATTCGCTGTTCTCTGCGGCGGAGGACACCGGCGTACCGCTTGTCAAAAACTAATTTAAATTAGGCTCCTCAGTGTAGATCTATATTCTCTATTTCAATGATTTAAAGCATCACCAAAGCTGCTCCTGTCTAAATAGCTACATCATTTGTGTAAAAACTGCATACTGTAAAACTGTGGGGGTCAGAAGGTTCAAACAATAGTGTTTACATGAACTACTATAAAATGAGACTAGTTATGTTTAAACACACAGGTGGGTAGTTTTGCCTTGGCCTACCATTTGCTCAGTCATACATTCAGAAACAAACTATTTCTCCAAACTGAGGCTGTTCAATAAGCTACCTGCAACAGGTAAGATATTAACTGTTCATAACCTTTCCACTAACCCAACTTCAATCTGCCTGAACTATTCCTTTAAAAACTGGCAATTAAGTAAAGAAGCCAAAGCATCTTGCTCCGGTTTTTAATCTTATTCTAACATTTTTGAGTTTTATTTGACATTTTCCAATTTAAATGTTAAATTTCTTCCCCGCAGCGACGACATTCTATTAGCTGCAGTCCTCGTTCTCATCGTGACATAAAAGTACCGTCCTTTAAGCCCCTGCTGCAAGTTTTTTTTTATTTTTTACATTTTTATCTTTGTGATAAATTGTTATTGGGCATCCACCTGTGGTTATTACTTACTGACATTCACGCTTGTAAGACAGGGACACGTTGGCTTTACAGGATAAATAGAGCTGCAACAAAAGCTTCCCGAAGGCTAAATTGGCCGGTCTGTCACTTACAGCTGCTTTCACACAGAGTAATGACTTTATTATTCAGGATCCTTTTGTGATGGCTGCATATTTGTTCTCTGACAGCGCAAGAATGACGATTCGTTTTCTCTGGAAAATGACAATTCTGCAGCCGACTTTCTTTTTCTACCCAGACAGCTTCATTAGTCACTATTAATACATCCTGATGAGGTGAGCTGACACTTCTGTCAAGAGTAGGGACATTTGTGGAAATATGAACCTTCTTTCCATTTTATATCATTTTTATGAAACAAATGAACCAAAGCGAATAATAATAATAATATCAGTTAGTTAATAACTAGATAAATTGCCTTTCCTGTGAAAATGCAGTGTGAGTGCTTATTACTGAAAGCTGCTGAATCCAGGCTGAAAAGGTTTCGTGGCTAAACTGTTAACGTGAGGTGAATTTGAACAGCTGACGTTTGATGAAAGCAGGAAAATTAAAGTGGAAAGCAGCAGAAATGTTTAGAAAAGGCTGAACAGAGCAGAAATGACCAGAATAAGCTACAAACCGGCAGAGAGAGGCAGAATAGATGATATAAAATCTGATATTAACAAAAAAGAAACTGAAATGGGGGTGGGGCTGAAATTAACAGAAAGAGGCTGAAAGTTTCATAAAAAGTTGAAATTATTAGAAAGAAGTGCAACAAAGGTGGGCATTATCAAGAAAAAGGCAGAAAAAACAACTAAAATTAGAAGAAAAATACCTCAAACGTAGCTGAAAAGCTGAATTTATGCAAAAAGTATCTGAAAGAGCACAAAAAGCTGAAATTAGCAGAAAGAATCTGAACATTTGACAAAATTAAATTAGGTGAAATGAGCAGACCAAAGAGTTTGAAGGATGTGAAGAGCGCTCCGTTGTTTTTCAATGAGACAAACGTGGCTAAAAGAAAATGAACGTTTCAAAAAGTAAAAATGACACCAATCCCAAAGTCTCAGGAGGAATGTCCTGAATGAGATGAATGTCCTGAATGAGATGAATGTCCAGAATGTTACGAACGGTTGAGATGGGACAAAAATTGTGGAACGAGTTACGTTCCAAAAGACTTCCAGAAGAAAAATTGGATTTTAATAGAATGATTTGGAAACGTTCACAGTAAATGGATGTTAATAGTTCAGGTTCAGCATTTGGACGTGTGACTTCTCCGCAGGACGTAAAATGGTCCCAGTTTGGCTTTGAGGGGCGCGATGGTAAAGAGAGCACTTTATGGATCGGCACAGAGGGGGCGAACACACCGTGCCACCTGGACACGTACGGCTTTAACCTGGTGCTGCAGGTCCAGGGACGGTAAGGAGATCAACACGTGGCGGCTTTGTAGAGAAAAATATTCTCGCTTTTCTTACTGGAAAGGAGAAACACTCGACAGCAGGAGAAGATTTTTAACCAGTATTTACTGGCAAGGTCAGAGTTTCAGGACAGGTTACACAGATATGCAGGAAGTGCACACGGATATACAGGAAGTACACACGAATATACAGGAAGTACACATACTGATATACAGGAAGTACACACAGATATACAGGAAGTACACAAACAAAT